CCAGCCCACCTTGACGCTGAACTCGTCCATGCCCACATCAATGGGGGAGTACTGCCGCGCGTCAAGCTTCTCAGCCAGGCCGGCGTAGTACTCGAAGCAGCCGGCGACGTCATCCTGGGGTTGCAGGCAGACGGGCGCCGGCGGGGCGCAGATGGCGCGGGCAGCTGGGGTGGGTGGGGCGCCGAGGGGCGCACAACATGCTGCGATCTTGAGGTTCCGACGGCAGCCGGCCACCACCCCTTCCCTCATGTTCCCTGACGCATTCTGACTGATGTTCTGTGCACACATATTCCGCTGTGCGGAGCAGAACTCCGCTCCTGAATGGCGCGGTCTTCTTGCGTCAAACCGCCCATTTTACGTGCAGCTGCAACTCGCGCCCCGCCGCGCCCTTCCCCATCCCGTCGCCTACCATGTCCCACTCCGCCTCGTCAATCGGCTTCCCCATGTCCAAGGTTTCCCACCGCGCCAGATCACTCTTGTGGTCCTTGATCTGGGGGGGTGGGTCAGCGGGTGATGAGGGGCCAGGCAGCACATCGGCCGCGGCATTGATGAGGGCCGCTGCTTGCGTGCTATCACCTCAAGACATTTTACCGCTGCCCCGCCATTCGGCACCCAGCTACCGCATCCACGACGACGCCGCGCCCGCCAGCGCCGCGGCAGCCGGAGGCAGCGGGAGCGCCGTCAGGCCGGCCCCCACGCTGCAAGCGCGTCGCGTCGGCAGCGCGGCCGCGCGCCCACCTTCTGCGCGATCGCGCGCAGCGTCTCAGCGCGCTGCTTGCCGGTCAGCTTGCCCCACGACCCGCGCTTGTGCGCCGCCGTCGCCGCGGCGACCGCGGCGTTGACGTCCGGCGCCGCGCCGGCGGCGATGCGGCCAATGACCTCCTCCGTTGCGGGGTTGACAACGTCCAGGTATCGCCCCGTGGAGGGCGCGACCCAGGTGCCGTCGATGAACAGCTCACGTGCAGGAATCACGGCCATTGCTGCTGGGCCCACGGCGCGGGCGAGCGGGGCCTGCTGCGCGAGCAGCGGGCGCGGCGGGCGCGGGGTCTGACAACAAGGCTACAGTAGGCTTGCATGCTGCGTCCAAGCATTCAATACAGCGAGCACATTCACCAAGCGCCCGTCCCGACAGCAAACTCGCTGGTGAACAATGCATGCTTGCCTGTGGATATCTGTATCGGGGCAGAGGCACGAGATGAAGATGATGATAGAATGTGTCACTGCTTGACTGAGTATACAGCCTCCCCGCGCCTCACGTGCTGCCTCACCAGTGCACGAACCGAGTGCTTCCGCTTAGGAACCCTCCACGTAGCCTTCGTTTAGGAGCTGTTGACACAGAGCACATGCAAATGTCGTTGGTTGTCCACTCTATCATACGAGAGTTTGATGACCCGTCCTACGTCACTCACAGCAGGGAGTGAGCGAGCAGCTGCTGCAGTGGATGAGTCGACTGGCTCGCTGTGAGCTGCAACAGGCTTTATCCCGTCGTTCCGTGCTGCGCACAGGCTCCATGCGTACGCCAACATGATACCACACGCTGTTGTTCGGGTGATGTGCCGCACACTTTCAGGGCGATTTGAAGCCTGTCCAAAAAACCACACCAGGCCGCAACACATGACGCAGTGGGCGTCCCATCCACCCTGACGATAGACAATCGGCCACCTGACCTCACATCATGCAACATCTTCATTGGCCTCTGGCCTAGGCTGTGACCTTGTTGCTCGACAGCATCATCACGTGGCCACCAGGATGGTCCCATAGCTCTGATTATCGGTGGTGTTGACGAGGAGCCCCACCCAGTCAAACGAGGGCAACTCAAACACACGCAAAGCGCCACGATATACACGACCAAACAAAGATGAATATAAATCGACAAAATTGATGAAATCTCCCCTGCGATGCCACAGCGCGTCGTTAATACAAACGCCCGGCGTACGTCGCCCCCTTGTAGCGTTTGGCCATCTCCGGCCACTGCACGAACAGTAGATCCGCCATGCGCGACGCGTGCAGGATCTTGCCGCTCAGCGACAGCCGCTCCACCCGTGCGATGCTCTCTACATACACGATGCGGCAGTCCAGCAACAACAGAGCCCTACGGGGGGGCAGAAGCACAGGCACAGCAGCAAAATTTCGCTACACAAACAAATAGCGCAAAGGTAGCCGGATACACCATCTTCTGATCGTCGTTGACTACCTCCCGATGCTTGCGTCAGGGTCACTTCCAGGGCAAGCACACCCGGGGCGAGCACAGTCGCAGGGGTGTGTGGCAGGGGGAATCGTGCCCTGCCGCCGCCCACCTGAACAGGAACGCAGCCGCGCACACTGGGATGCAGGTGCCAGGTCCATTGACCAGCAGCTGCAACACAGCAGAGCAGACGCGGAGCAGTGCGGTGCGGTGCGAGTTCAAGTCTTGCCAGGTTTCAGTCAATGACCACAAACTGCAACGCAAAGCGTCCCGGCACGCCGCAGCTGGCCACGCGGCCGTCGCCGCGCAGCATGTCCATGTGCCAACCCAACACTGCCCACCAGCGCCGGCCGCTGCTTGAGGACGATCCAGGCTGCGAAGGCTAGGGAGTACAGGGTGGTGGCCACGGATGTGAGGTAGCTCTGCCCCACCTCGCGGCTGCGGGGGATTTCCTCCAGCAAGGGGCCTTGGGCCTGCCGGGTGGTGACACAGCGGCCTGGGGCGTCTGCATGTTGCTGTTTTGGACTGTATCGAATCATCAGGTATGGGGGCAGTCTGCCTAGTTGAGCTCGTGCTCACAACCCACAGAATGCACCCCTGGTACTGGCCGCCGTAGGCTGGTTGTACCGCCTGCAACATGCGAAACTACTCAAGCCACCACTCGCCTTGCTGCTGCCGCTGCTGGTGCTGTTGCTGCTGCTGCTGCTTGCCCATGCCTGCTCCTTGGTGAGCGCCTTGGTGCCGCTCATGCGGTCGGTTGCGGCGACGACGTAGCAGCGCGGCGAGTAGTGCGCCTTGTCCAGCTGCTCCACCATCATCAGCATCTCCGCGGTGTGGCCGCCTGTGATGTGTGGTGGCTACTGCGTATTCAGGGCTGTCAAGGCTAAGCTGCGGAAGGGCAAGCTGCGTAAAGCGCACGCAGAGCGAGCGGCGGGGAACGATGCGAAAGCAGCTGCTGCGCTGCACCTGATCCCAGCACCACCATTGTCTTCACAGGTCCGGCGCCGCTTTTCAGCGGCCTTCCATGTCTGAAGATCAACAATACCAGCACACGGACGGCCAGCATGGCTGCCAGGCCCGCGAGCATCGCAATAATCGCTGACAGCGGCATCACATGCAGTGCTGACAATCTTATGCGTATTATAAATCGGTGCCTAACTATCAACGCAATGGTAGATGTGCATTGCGCGTGACCTCAGCCCCCAACCAGCCCCAACTGACACATGATGACTCAGTGACCCGGTTATACCATGTACAGCAAGGTGAAGTAGATATGTACGACTACATAGCAGTATACCTCAACTACCTTGGAGTCGTAGTCGGCCGTCACCGTCTCACCGGGGATCAAAGGAACAAGTGTGCGGCAAGCAGTGGAGTGCACAAAGCGAGTGGGGTATCCCTGCCCGTACCCGTTCCACCGGGACTCGTATCACAAAATCACCTGAGCGCGAAGGCGAGGTGATCAGAGCAGCAAAGGGATCTGAGTTCAGGCCACAGCAAGGTGTAGCCAAGGGACAAAGACCATCAGTGCGTGTCCGTGTGTGTGCAGAGGAGTCCCCGGCGACGGTGAGGCAAAGGGCCGTAGTCGTAGCGGCGGTTGTTGTTGAAGGCGGGCTGGGGGAGGCCGGGACTACATGCTACCCATCTTCATGACACAGGCAGGTTGTGCTGACTACTGACTATGAAGCAAGGGTATCACTCGAGTAAATTACAGCGGGCTGCACAGCAGCTGCTCTGATCGCCCTGCGCATATTTTCAGCGCAACCAAAACCGGCGAGAGCGCCAACAAAATGCAGCTGCTAGGTGGGCCCTCAGCCTGCATGCCCAGCAGCTACTTAATGGTCGATATGAATTCGTTGTAGCTGGACTCGAGGTCGAACAGCAGCTGCCGCACCTCGTCCTCCGACAGCTCGTAGCTGGCCGGCTGCTGGTACAGGCGGCTGTACCAGTTCTTGGCTTTTGCTTTGGGAGCAAACTCGGGTGGCAGGCTGGCGATCTTGGACATCGAGGAGATGAGGTCCGACAAGATCGGGCAGATCTGGGATGAGGTGGAGGGGTGCGGGAGAAACTTCAGCGAATGTCACCGGCAAGAACGAGGCCGGCAGCTCAGCAAGGGCGGCTGCATTTGTATTGGGAGCGGTTGCAAGGGTCGGCTAGGGCATGGAGCTGTTTTGATGCACCAGCCTGTTGCCACTAAAAGCTGAGATCTACCCTCCAAACGTCAACAGCCCTGCCTCGGCGTCAAGGTGGATCCACCACACCCCACGCCAAGCTCGCCGCGCAGGTCCCCACCTGGTCCACTGCCACCAGGTTGAGCTTGAGGCTGTCCATGGCGGTGATGAAGTGCTGCACAGTCTCAGCCACCGCGCGTGCGCCGCCGCCGCCCCCCTCCACCGGCCGCTTGCGGTGCTCGATTGTGGCAGGCAGGCCCACCTGGGGAAGCAAGCATCAGGACGGCGCCGTCAACACACAAATATGCTCACTTCAGTGCCCGAATTGCGTGCATATGCCCCATGCCCACCACCATACCACAAGAGGCTTTCTTCAACCTCGCCAGCAGCGGTAGCCGAAACGCGCGGTGCGCACCCCCTCCGCATGCGCCCGCACCTTCACGAGGCGGTTCCAAGCCATGGGGCACTGCATGTGATACTGCTGCATGAACGTCTCGACGCTGGGCACCTGGAAAGTGACGATTGTGTTGCGGCCGGCAGCACCCCTTGAGCGCCGCGCGGCATTCAGTGATCCCGGCCAGGTGGCTGGCGCCGTCCCGCTGCGCCAGCCCCACCCCCAACCCTTGCCGCAACAGCAGCTGCGCAGGTCCAGAAAGGCAGCAGCGCCTTCTGCCACGCGCGACCTTCTGACGCCCGCAGCTCTGGCCAGAGCTTCGAGCAGAGCAGTTGCTTGATGAGCGACTCACCGCGTCCCTCATGGAGCCCCACAGCACCTTGAACTGCGCAATGAGCTTCTCACACGCGCCCTCGTAGTCGGCCGCCGTGACATCATCGCGCACGTACGCACGCTCCAGCTTCTCGGTTGCCTTGATGATGGCAAACAGGTCTGGGGATTTGGGAGTTGCAAGCGGGTCTCAGTGTGCAAGGTCCAGCCGTCCCCACGTTCCAGCAATGTCGCGGGGTCAGCTACCAGCATGCCCGGTGCACGAGCATCAAGCAATAAGTGGCCCCCAATGAGCTGTGCGTTTGTCTGGTGGTGTGCAAGATAAGCCACAACCAGAAAACTCCTGTACGCAGGCACTGTTGCAGTCCTGGCACCGTCGCATGCCAGGCCCAGCGCCATCCACCTGGCCAGTCCCATGCGCGCCTGCGAGATTCTCATACTTCTCCTGCTCCTTGCTGTTGGCCCAGAGCTTCGTGTCACTGAGGTTGGTGGCACTCATAGCGAACCCTGAGCTGTGGGCGCCGCCTCCCCGATGCCGCCTGCGTGTCGCCGCTGCTGCTAGCGCCGCGGCGCCGCTGCCGCGCTGCGCCGCCTGGATGCAGCTGCGTTCTCCACGAAGTTACAGCGCCTGCCGCCACCTGGAAAAAGGCGTGCAGAGTGCCCGAAAGTCGAAGCAGGAGCGGGAGGACCTTGATCAGCGTTGAGCCAAGGCGTGCTGCTTGTATAAGTTCATGTCAACCATGTGTTTAGTTTTGATACGGTACCGATGTTCTATTGCGCATGCATCAGAGCGACACGCGAAGGCAGCTGCCAATCGTTGCCAGCTGACGACCAGGGGGACCAACGCGGCTCGCAAGCAACGCCTGAAGTGTCAAATAATCGTCATTCAAATTGATTTTGTATTGCACTTGAGCTGCAGGGATATGCAGCCAGATCGCGATCCGGGATCACCACGCATACAATGACGCCCTATACCAGCCATGATGTGCTTCAGGCAGTCTGCGGTACTTTCACCGGCGACAGCAGTCCCCCTCTCACCAGTGCAGCCTATTACAGCGCGATTTGCTGCAGCATCAGTGGGTGTGCACAAGGTACGATGCTAGCGCACACACCGGGCAAGGCTCTGCACTCCCTCTGCATGGTCTCACCATACACACATCTAACACGATGTAACACTGCAGACCATGTTCTAGTGCGCCTGCGGCTCGATCTGTGCGCGGCTGCTGCCACTCTGGCAGCGCATCGGTCAGGTCGGACCGGCGCTGCATGCCGTCGACACCATCACACGCGCCAGCGGGCCAGTCAGCAACAGCAGAAAACGCAACAGCCACAGGAGCAGGGGCAGCAGCAGCAATGCAGCACGTCGCCAGCGTCGGCGGGCTCCCGGCCTCGGCGGTGTGAAGGGCAACCTGCCCCACAGCATGGCGACGAATCCCGGCCCACACAGCTCGAATCGTGGCTGCCGGCTGCACCCACCAGCCCTGAAGCGGGCGGGACCGCGTCAGCCGTGGAACGCGCCGCTGCGCCGCTGCTGCTGCACAAGCACCCTGGCAGCAGCGGCGCGGCGCTGCTGGACTGGCACTTGTGGTCTGGTAGCAGCGACGGCGAATCCGGGGGCGGTGCATACCTGGAGCGTGGGTTTTTGGAGGATGTGCGGCACCTTCAGGCCTGGCTTGAGTGCACCTGATAACGGTAGTGGCCAGTCTAGGCAGGTGTTTTGTTCCGCTGCCTTGTTCTGGATTACACCAGCTGTTCTTTCCAATTGTGGGGGTAATTGCTTCGACGTGGCCAGGTGCGGCGTCAGACCACCACAGAACCTTGTTTGAACACCTGTCACTGCTGCAAGGCGGCTGCCGGAGTGGGCTGTCGTGCGATCTGCTGGCTTCAGCCCGAGACAACAGTCCTGCGCACGTCACTAAGAGCACCATGTTGCAAAGTACGTACCTGTTCGACATCGAAGCATCCCATTTTTAAGTCATGTTGCTGGATACATGCCTCTGGTAATTTTCAGGCAGCTCCTGAGCGTTGGTGCGGCTGGAACAGAAAGAGCATATCGTATGTGTGACGGTGCAATTGCAACGCCAAAGCAAACCAGGCGGTGGTGCATGGTGTGGTGCATAGTGTGGTGTGGTGCATGACTGCCCCGAGACCAAAACCAAGGCTTCAGAAACCTGTGCTGTGCGTGCTCTTCTCTTAAAACGTCGTCGAAGCGTCAAGGCGCCTGCAGCCGACACCCGCGGCGCAGCACATCTCCGTGAGAGTGTATGTCGTGACTGGACGCCCCTGGCATGCCATGACGGCAAGTACGTCATGGCATGCCTGCATAAGCAGCACCACCACAAGCAAGCATAAACCGCGTCGCATTGGTGGGTGTGCGCCTGCACCAATTTGTGTCCAATCCCCAAACCAAATACGAGTATTGTGAGTGCTGTACTGCTGCCGCAAACCGCTGTCATAAGAAGGACATCGCGACTTGTAAGAGCCACAAAAGGAATCCGGCTGCGCAAATGTACAGTTGTCCAAAGTTGACTTGCATTGACAGGTTGTTGTGAGGTGGCAGGGAAGTTGCTGGGCAGTACAACGGCAGATATTCATGCCAAGGTGTGAATGCCACAGCAATTGCGCCAAGCGAGAGCCACACACACCAGCAGATCCAGGCAGGCGTGTTGCTTGCAAAAAGGCAACAACAATGATGCAAAGTATCCTGACTCACCCAGCCCTGGAGCCTCACTGTTCTGACACATGCATTGGGACATGTAGCCTCCCTGCCAGAGGAGCAGGTCAGCTTGTGTCCCGTGTCTTCAGTGAATTGTTTGGTCAAACGAGCAGCTGCACGGCAACATCAGAGGGCAAGGGCACAGGGGTACCTGCCGCGACGCATACCACAAAGCTTGAGGGCACGTCAGGCATGGTGTCGCAGACCAGGCAGGGGCAAGGCTAAAATGCGGGATGGACTCATGAACATGCATGTCTACGACACCACAACAAGTTGGAAACTTATCTGCAGAGCAACGCCTGACAGAGGTGTGCAGCAGCCGCGCGGCCGACATCCACGCGGCGCCGCCCTGCTGAGCGCCGTCTGCATTATTCAGTTTGAGGGGGGGGGTTGTAGCAGGCACAGTAGTGGTGGCGTGCACGATAGGAGACTTGGCTGCGCTCGCCCAAGCAGCGGCCAGCATGCCTCTTCTGGGATCTGTTGGAAGGGCTTGCTTTCCCTGGGGGCTCCCGGTCTCCGGCCACGTTGTGACGGGCTGGTAGCGTTGCAACGGCAAACGAAGGCGCGCAATCGAATTGAGCTGCCGCCCAGCTCCCTCGCTTGCTGCTGTCACAGTTGCATACACACAGGACTCCGGGGTCCGTGTTACACAATCTGATGCATGAGAGCTACGCGACGCGACTGAGGATTGCGCGGCACGTGGCCGTTGCCTGCATGCTGCCTGTCGCATGCGCTGTTGAGTCCACACGACTAAGACGCCCGCATTAATAGCGCCAGGCCCCAACACAAGCAACTTGCTGGTACATGGCAGGAGAATTTTCAAAGGGCACAGTGCAACCAGACCAAGCGCTTGCAGCGCACCTGCGTGCGCACGCCCGTGCGTGTGCAGGCTCATGAGCACCCATCTGCAGCTGCCAACATGCACATGCGTGCGCTGATTCCACTAGGAACGAAGGACAAACTGAGCCCGATTTGTGGTCTAGAGGGCAGGCCAGGTGTGCCCCTCGTTTCACCCTCCGCAAGCTGCGTGCGTGCTGCCAGCCATCAGTCATCCGAAGGCTCAGCCGCTCAGGTCGTCCACTTGATTGTGGTGGTCTGCGTCATCAAACGAGTAGATGACGAATTCGGACTTCTCGACCACCTTGGCCAGCTTGACAGGGCTGGGGGGCCGCGAGCTGGAAGGCGGGTCCTCGGGCTCCACGGACGGCCCCTCGGCGGGCTGTGCGGGAGCGGGTGCGGCGGCCGGCCCAGGGGCGGCCGCGGGAGCAGCTTTGACGGCGGCAGGCGGCGCAGCGGCGGGTGCAGCGGCTGCGGGCCCCCATCCGGCGGGCAGCTGCGCGTTGGCTGCAGGGGCTGTCACCGCCGCGGGGGCCTCGGGGGCGGCTGCCGGGGCGGCAGGGGCGTGGGGCGCGGCCGCAGGCGCACCGGGGCCTGCCGCAGGCGCTGCCGTTGCCGCAGTGGCAGCCGCCGCCGCGGCGCTGCTGGTGCCGTCGTCGTCATCGGAGGGCGACACCGTGCCGGCGTTGGCTGCTGCGGCGATGAACGCCTCCTCCTGCTCCTCCTTGACGCGGGTGTAGCCCACCACCGTCCTCGCAGGCGCCAGCACCTGTGTACATTATGTCAGGTGCCAGAAACTGCGCTCAGCGCTCCATAGTAACGTGCTTCCATGAAGTCGCACGAGCGTGATGCTTGGACGCATCAGATCTTGCCACTGTGCGCAAAAGCGCACAGCCGCACACGCACACACACGCACACACACACACACACACACACACACACACACACACACACACACACATACACATACACACACACATGCGCGCGCACGTCCAGCATATGCACACGCCGGGCATCTGTTCACCTGCATGAACTGATCCCTGTCATGGAAGCGGCCCTCCTTCAATTCCGCCTCTCCAGCTTCTGCCGCGGGGCTGGTGAAGTGGTCGGTGTCGTGCCCCACGCGCCCCTGGCCGCCAAAGCGCGGGTCGTCGCTGCGGGGTGTGAGCAGTGGGGCGCAGCAGAGAGGGGGGAACGGGGCAAAAAGGTGTTGAGTTGACAGCAGAGTAGCATGGGGAGGGAGGGAGGGGGGGAACATGGAAGAGGCTGGAAACAGCAACCAATGCAGCAGTGCGCAAGGCGTGGCCTTGAGCGACAAACCAGCTGCAGATGCAGGCCCTGCTGTCAGCCTGCACAAAGGGGCCAGTTCCTCAGCAACATACCGCCGTCTGCACGGTCGTACGCCCCCCAGCTCGCAACCGCCAGGAGCCACGACGGCCCGCACTTTCCCACACCCACGCTGGCGCGCAGGGGTGGGCGCGCACCTGTCAATGATGACGCGCCACTTGCCGGGCTCGGGGGTGGCCACCTTAAGGCCCTCGTGGTCTGTGTGGGGTGAGAAGTTGAACACAAACACCACGGGGCCGCGCTCCGCCACCAGCACCTGGCGTGGGGAGCGGCAGTGGCAGGGGCGAGAGACGCTTGACGTTTTACCCCTCGACCTCGTTGTTAGCCAGGCCACAATGGCGTCCGCTCGACGCCGTGTGCCTTACAGCTGGATGAGGGCTGCTCGGATGGAGCAGTTGTTTTGCAGTCTTGCGACGGGCGGGCGGCGGAGCGGGGCGGGGCGCACGCATGCGTGCATGCGGCGTGACGTGTTGCCGGGCAGGGCGCGCCACTTGCCTGCCTGCCCTGGTCGATGTGTGTGACCCACTGCCAGGGGTCCGCCAGGAATCCTGTGGTGTCGTCGAGCTGGTTCATCGCCCTGGGGGTGGGCAGTGGCGGCAGCGGCGGGGCCGCGGAGGCCAACAATCGGCAAGCCATGTGACAGCAGGCAGGCCAAAAGGCGAGGCGAGGAGAGGTGAGGGGCGACGACACCGACGCGCCGGGGCTTGGCGAGCAACAAGGTCCTGACAGAGTTGCGAACAATAGGCCCACCAAACTGTGTGCGCATACACAAACATACACACACACACACACACACACACACACACACACACACACACACACACACACACACACACACACACACACAAACACACGCACTTGTCCCACTCCAACAGGTGGCGGTATCTCAGGTGGTCCGCATCGGCCAGGCTCCACTGGCGCCTTGAGGGGGGTGGGGTGGGATGGTGTGTGTGTGTGTGTGTGTGTGTGTATGTGTGTGGGTGTGTGCGCGCGCGCATGTGTGTATGCGTGCGCGTTGTGTGTGAAGGTCCCAAGGGTAGAGGGGTTGCAACACCAGACCCCAAGCCTCACTCAGGCTGTGCGCAAAGCACCAGCGCCAACATCGCCCGTGTCGAGTGGCGCAGTGTTAAGACTTGCGTGGCGAGGGCTGCACCGTTGCGGCGCGGGCAGCACCAGGCAGCACACCTGCAGTAGAAGTGAGACCAGTTGTTGCCCTCCCGGGGGAAGTCCAGCCACTCGGGGTGGCCAAACTCGTTGCCCTGATGAGAAAGAGCGCGCAGGGAGAAAGCCAGGCGTAGGCAGGACAGAAATATGAGCGTCGCAGGATGGTGGTCCGCTGGGAGAGTGCACGCGTGCCTTGTGGTCTTGAAGCACGCGCATGCTGGTCAAGCGGCGGCGAGTTGGGGTTCTTTGGGCTGTGCTGGGACCCGGGAGCGCTTGAAAGGCGTTGGACCCCTGCGCTTTGGACTCATGGAACAACATGAAGTTCTCACCATGAAGTTCAGCCAGGCCTCGCCCCCCAGGGCCATCGTCACCATGCGGATCAGCTGTGAAGGGTGAGAAGGGTGCGGAGGAACGGCATGGCGGCCCAGGTGTTGTCATCAACCGAGGTGGCTGACATGGCCCGCCACGCTGGCTTACCGCCCGGTCCACCTTGCGCAATTCCAGGGATGGGCTTTGGGGGGGGGGTAGGGGAGGAGTGGCTGCTGCCCAGGAGACGCTGCTGCGACGCACCGCCGCATGTCCCCTGCCAGGCCGCAGTGCAGCGGACCCCCAGCACCTGCCCACCTTGTGCATGGCTATGCCGCGCGATATGACGGGCGTGGCCTCCCCCAGGGTGCTCATCCCCGTGTACATTTCGGCGTCCATCAGCCACATGGCGATGGTCTTGTCACCCACCTGGGGGCGAGAGGGGTCAGGAGGTTTGCAATCGGATGGACCGGGTGGCGCGTGTGTGCAAGGAGCGGCACATTGCATATGTGTTACGAGTATGGCAGGCGTGACAGCAGCCGACCCTGGCATGTCGTGCCTTGAGGCTCCACCGGCGCGCACGTCACCAGCGGTCGCATGTCCCCTTGAAGGGCGTAAACTAATGATAACGCAAAAGCAGACCTACACCCTCACACACACACACAGCCGAGCAACGGAGTCTACACACACACAGACACGCACACACACACACATGCATTCACACACACACACTGACGCCATCGTTGCATGAGCCACCCCCCCCCCCAAGCC